ACTACTTAAATTAGGTAACCAAAAGTTGCACGTGTAGCTAGTTGCACACTCACCTTGTACAAGTTATATGTAATGCACTAACCAAAAACACAAATAAAAGCAATAGCCCCGTAACATCGGCCTTAGTAAAATAAAAAAAAAAAAAAAATCAAATCAAATTCAAATAAGCCTAATATTTGATTTGATTTAATTTTGAGAAATTCTATCAGTTAATTTTATATATAGTTATATATCAATTACTAACTAGATGAATATATATCGATTATAATTTCCCCTGCCAATTATCATTGATTGTAATTATAATCAATATACCAATATATTAGTAATCAATATACTGTTGGCCCTCCCCAAACCGATTCTGTAAAAACCAATATCCTACCATAATCGATTAAAAATCGATTCACCAGGTCTGTTCCTTATTTCATATCTGATATTTTGCTATTTCTGATATCTGATAACCCAAAGTTATACGTTCCCAGTTTGTCGATCCTGATCATATGATAAATAGCCAATCAGATCATGAATTCTTAAGCCAAAAGGTGAGATTAAAGATACTAACTAGCATTACCTTGACAAGAAAGAAATAAGAAAGACAGCATATACAGATCGCACTGATAAGTATAATTTAATTTATTATGCTACAATTTATTACTTAGTGAAAGACTACTAAAATTTTATTTCAATAGCTTTTTCTTTACATTGCTGATACCGATAAGAGAATTCGTTAGTATAACTTTTTTTTTTTATCTTTGCCAATCTTATTTATATACAACTTTTTTCTCAAAAGAACTTTTTTAAACTAAATTTTAATAAAAAGAAAAAAAAAGAGAAAATAAAACTGAGATCATTCGATCAAGTGAAGTATTGATCCAAACTATGTTGGACTTGCTTCCCGGCCTTCTCTTTGCGAACCTCTTCACAAATACAAGATTGTAGCTTGCGTAAGGTTTTCATTATTACTCCACCATCATCGATTCTTTCATTTATAATCCTCAAGACGCTATGCAAAATATTCAATTGTTCATCATTAAGGTGGTATTACAAATTCCTTCTCTACCTGTTCTACTTTCATCGCAGTTTGAATCAAGTCTTCATCAGTAAATTGGTAGTATACTTCTCATTCTTCTTCAGAGTTTAGTAAATCTTCAATGGGCATTGAATTACGAACACATAATGTGTCTATTTGCTGCTGAAGTTCCTTGATTGTTAATTTATCATTTGGATCAAGAGGTGGGTTTTTTCTATATTATCAGTACTTTCAACAATAGCAGAAGAGGCGACAGGTATTTCACTTTCATTACGAGAAGATATAACTTTCATGTAGAACCAATATCTCCTGATCATTTTGGCTGATACTTCTTTTCAGGCAATCTTTGTCCATTTCATAGTCTGCAAATTAATACAAGTTTGTAAAAAATTTATTTTTTAACAACTTTAACCTAAAATCTTAACCCGATTCTTAAGAGAAAAAAAAAAAAAAATCTAAAAAATAAATCTCAAAATTCACAACAAAAATTTTTAAGTCTGCTATTATTCAACTTGATTAACTACTTTTTCATCATATTACTACCTGCAATTGATTGACTTTATATACGTCTTTTTCCCTGGCTTCGTCATGATCAATTGTATGTTGAAGTTGTAGATGACGATAATGAAGCTTGAATGATGCGATAATATTAGCATCCATGGGCTGGATTTTTGATGTTGCGTGTAGGTAACATGAGTACTTTCACATTAGTCAAGGTAAAGGCACCAGTAATATGTGAAAGCACTATCAAAAATAAGTAAAATATGCCAGTTTGATTTTCTTATTTCTTTATTTAATTTTCTATCTATTCTTGAAAAAACATGGCTGTTATCCATGCCTTTTTATTATTACGATAATAGAATCCAAGTTCTTTCTCTATAAAAAAGTTTGTTCAATTATTGTTGGTATTGTTCGAAAAAATATCTGAAATGGAGTCGATTTTTCGAATATCAGTATGATATTGTACAATTTTCATGCCGTAATGTAAAAAAAAAATTGTTGGGTTAACAATATTAGATATAAACATTGTACAAAATCAGTACATGTTCAGAAAATAGACTCCATTCTGAACAATTTTTATTTTTTTGAACAAAAACAGAATAACTTTAGAAAATTTTAGAATAATGGCAACGAAATTTTTTATGAGTTCACCTGTTTTTTTTTTGAAACTTCTAGGTCTTTTAGAATGCTCAATAATAAAAGGTTGAAGTTTATAGATGCTATCCGCATTGGCTGTAAATACAATCGTGAATCTTGTGCAATTTTTTTTTGACTCTTCAATCAGGCGAGATGCAATTGTATGGTCAGGAGCCATGGTATAAAACAAACCTGTCTCATCCATGTTATAAATATTACAAAGAGAATACTGGTTAGTGGTATTAATAATATTAGGAAAGCTTAGATTTATGGCAACAATATTAGCAGAACCATTCTCACTATGCAATTTATAGTAACAAAAATTATACCTTTCTTGAAAAGCCTGTAACCATCCATTTGAAAATTCAGGCTGATTATTTTCAGGGATTTCCATCATATCAGCTAATCTTTTTCCTTTAGCTTTAATCATATCTTCATTTAAGTACACAGTCCTATGTTTACATTGTAATACCTAGTTTGCCAAGGCAATGTCTAGCTTAGGAAATATAACAACGCAACGTCTCTTAACTTCAAGATCACTTGAAGACATTTTATTAAATTCATCTTTTCTTTTTAGAATGTCAGAAATTGTACTTTGGCCTGGTGTTTTCACTAGCTTAAACTCATTTTTGGTCTACTCTGCAAGTTCTTTCTGAGTAAGTGTTGAATTTTTTTTGATAGTAGTCACATATTATTTTTCTTTGATCATTATGCAAATTTCTAGCTAAGAAGACTTTGTCTTTTTTTTTCTCATTATAATGGCAGATATAAGAATATACAATTTGAATGAACAAAAAGTTAACAAATAATTAGCAAAATGATTCTTTATATGATGGTGGCAGCATAAGGTTGCATCAATAGCAAGAAACAGAATTTCTGTTATTAACCCGATAAGATTTTTTTTATTTATTTTAGTATTTTTTTTATTTTTTTTTTTATTTTATTTTTAATTTTTAATTTTTAATTTTTTTGTTTTTTTTTGTTTTTAATAAATACAATTTTCGTAAAAAGCATTAATTTGATCTTTTTAATTGACCTGCCTTAAAAGATCACATTGATCTTAATCACTATTATATGATATACACTATATGTTAGAACTTACAAACCTTTAGAAAATATCTTGTACTGAAATAAAGAACAAGATGATTCATATCTTTATTAGGATGTTGTACTTTCTTGATCATCCTGACTTACGATGAGAATTTTTTTTGTTGAATCAGTAAAAATAGTTCAGGTAGGTCAAAACCAATGATTTTTTGTTAATTCTACCTTTGCCTCATTTAATGTTATTCCCGAAGTATTTGATTATATTATTTATTCTCTCATGAATTCGAAGCCAATTTCATTCAGAATCACCTCTAATTTAGTTTATTGCCCTCTTTTATTCTAATCAGTTTCTTCTTTAAGTTAGTACTACCAAATCTGTTCGGCGTAACAGATTTGCCTTTCTTCACTGATAATCATTTCATTGATAGCTCAATTAGCTGACATTACGCTAAGTAACAATATATACCTATACTGATTAAATGCTTTCTCTAACCCTGTGTGATGTGGCTAACTTTGGTGAAATGACTGTGAAGTAAGCAAATAGATTAGTAAAGCAACTATAATTCATCAGATCAACCAAAATTTAAAGTCGAAATAGCTTGAAGCTAGGCTGGCTTAGTCAATTATACCTGCCAATAAAATTATCATCTGAGCAGATTTACTTAGTACATAGGCTGCTTTTATTAGTAAAATTTTAGGTGATTTTGGAAGAATTTATAAGTTCTGGCCTATTCTGATCCTAATTTTGGTCAATTTGCTGAATTTTAATTTCACCACTAATCTATCCAGAGCAGTACTAACATAAATGAGAAGTGGACTAGGAAAATCACCAGTTAAAAGTAAGCACCAAATAGTAGTTTTTTCAAATATCTTTACCAGGTTGTAAGACAAACAATAAAAAATAAAAACAGAACTAGTTTTTAATTAGAGTTGTGTGTAAAAAAACTTTTTATAAAGTAATTATATAGTTAGACTGCATATATATGTGAATATTTTAAAATATTATTGCTGTAGGATAATTTAATTAGAGTACTACATATAGTCAAACTTCTATAAATGCAACGTGTACAGACCAGCCTAAAACGTGCATTTAGAGAAGTTTGCATTTAGAGAGAGCCAATCAAATTGCAGCTTTTAATATTTGATCTGCAGACTTGTATAACAA